GCCATCTACAAAGAAAGGTGATTTAGCAATGGCCAACAGAGACCAGTGACAGCCAGTGGGTGAATGTAACGTTAAGACATGCTGCACATGCAATGGGGGCAGAGACCATAGAGGTGGCATTCAGAGTAGGCGTCAGAGGCGGACAGTCAGGGGCCTGCTAAGCCAAAATTAAGACAAATATTGCATTCATACATAATGTTACTTTACTGTAAATGTCTGTTTTCCTCATTATCCTTCCTTCCTCGTTTTCCTTCTCGCTTTGTTTGTTAAAAAAAAACACTTTCCATCAGTGTTTTAAAAATAAATAAAAATGTATGAATAGTTTTAAAATAAACAAATAGTTATTGAAAGAAATTAGCTTCCTGTTCATCCCCTCTCTTCTAGGGCGATAGAACATTTCCCAGTCAGTGCAGTAGAGCAGACAATTGCTGACCGTTGCAACACATGACACAAATTAATTAATCATCTAATGTGATGCCAAAAAGGCACGAGCAGTTAATCAGTCAATCACAAGCAACCGCGAATTGTACAACAGAAAGGCTTGGCTACCTTACTGTCACGCACACATGGAGAATACGGCCAAGGCCTGCTAGGCAGAGTTAGCATCGAAGCGTAACTGGAGGAAGGCTACAGGATGGGTAAAGGATATGTCTTACAAAATAATTTACGACACGAACATTCAACATTATTATTCATATTAGCACCTGCCAATCATTTGAGTAACACCCGACGGCGAAATTAAACAAGAATGCATGCAGCGTTCTGTCGAGCAGCGCATTTGTACTAAAGCTTATTGCTGCCACGCCAGGAAAAAAAAGATCAGTATCACGTTATAACATACAAAGTGATGTTTTTCATGTTTTAACATTTTAACTTTATAACGTGAAAAATATATTGTTATTACATGATAAACATCTCGTTATAACAATACACTTTTCATGTAATATTGTGATCCTGATCAGGGTTTCTTTCTGGCTAGGCAGCAACAGGCTTCCGTACTTTGTATGTGCAACATGTTGCAAAATGTAAAACTTGGTTTGTGTTTGATTAAACTTGGTAGGGCAACAGAGTTTTAAATGTTGTCAAAATGCTTGAAAAGTGTGCGTTTAAATGCTAAAACGATACAATTGTTTTTTAGTCCTATAAAACATAAATCGTCATTGAAGGCCTAACCATAAAACACCTGGCCAATGATGGGCAGTGTAAAAACAGATAGAAACACTTTGCAGCACATGCAAACACATAGATGGAAAGTGAAAGACTTACAAGGTAGTGATTGACAGGCTAAGTGATACGAGGAGTGAAGCAGGTAGGACCCAAACGCAGATAGCACTTGATAACACCTTTATTTCAAGGACTTAATCGAACATACCACATGGAAACACAAAACACTCCACGGTGAACTCAGTCACAAACAAAATAAGCACCAACACTGAACACAGGAAGAGACAAGACTAAATACAGGGAGGGGTAATCACAAGACGAGAAACAGCCGGGTAGGGGAGGAGAAACACAAGGGCAACAGGTGAACACAATCAGACAATTAGACACACCAGGGAAACTAACGACAGGGAGGACGGGCCTTGGCTGACAGCCCAGGGCAAGGCAGAGTTCGAAGAGGGGGTCTCGGGCGGACGGCCCGGGGGCAAGGCAGAGTTCGAGGAAGGGGTCTCGGGCGGACGGCCCGGGGGCAAGGCAGAGTTCGAGGAGGGGGTCTCGGGCGGACGGCCCGGGGGCAAAGCAGAGTTCGAGGAGGGGGTCTCGGGCGGACGGCCCGGGGGCTAGGCAGAGTTCGAGGAAGGGGTCTCGGGCGGACGGCCCGGGGGCAAGGCAGAGTTCGAGGAGGGGGTCTCGGGCAGACGGCCCGGGGGCAAGGCAGAGTTCGAGGAAGGGGTCTCGGGCGGACGGCCCGGGGGCAAGGCAGAGTTCGAGGAGGGGCGAAGACCACAGCGGGCGAACTCAGGGGACCGGGCTCGAGGGCGAAGACCGGACAGCTCCGGAGGCCGGGCAGGAGCCGGTGTCGACCGGACAGGATCCGGAGCCGGTGGGACAGGTGTCGGCAAGATTCCCCACGGAAGAGGACAAAGGGCCGGCAGGACCCCCGGCAGGCGAGCAGTCGGCGGAACCTCCAACGACACGGGACATAGGGTTGGCAGGACCCCCGGCAGAAGAGTAGTCTGCGGGACCTCCAACGACACAGGACATGGAGTTGGCAGGACCCCCGGCAGAAGAGTAGTCTGCGGGACCTCCAACGGCTCAGGACATGGGGTTGGCAGGACCCCTGGCAGAAGAGTAGTCTGTGGGACCTCCAACGGGACAAGGCATGGAGTTGGCAGGACCCCCGGCAGGAGAGTAGTCGGCGGGACCCCCAACGGGACAGGACATGGAGCTGGCAGGAACCCCAGCAGAACCTCCAACGGCACAGGACATGGGGTTGGCAGGACCCCCGGCAGAAGAGTAGTCTGCGGGGCCTCCAACGGCACAGGACACAGGGTTGGCAGGACCCCCGGCAGAAGAGTAGTCGGCGGGGCCTCCAACGGCACAGGACATAGAGTTGGCAGGACCCCCAGCGGAACCTCCAACGACACTTGAGTAGGGACTTGAGTGGGAACTCGAGAGAGGGCTTGAGAGGGAACTCGAGAGGAGACTCGAGAGGTGACTTGAGAGGTGACTCGATAGGGAACTTGAGAGGTAACTCGAGCGGGGACTCGAGCGGGGACTTGAGAGGGAACTCGAGAGATGACTTGAGAGGGAACTCGAGAGGAGACTTGAGAGGGGACTCGAAAGGGGACTCGAGAGATGACTTGAGAGGGAACTCGAGAAGAGACTCGAGATGGGACCTGAGAGGGAACTCAAGAGGAGACTTGAGGGGTGACTCGAGAGGTAGCTCGAGAGGCAACTCGAGAGGGAACTGGAGAGGAGACTTGAGAGGGGACTTGAAAAGGAATTTAAGAGGGAAGTCGAGAGGGGACTTGAGAGGGGACTTGAGAGGGGACTTGAGAGGGGACTTGAGAAGGAACTTGTGTCGGTCGGTACGCCGACAGGACACGGGGAGCTGGCGTCGGCTGGGGAGCCAGCAGGAGACGAGGTGCTGGAGTCGGCCGGTACGCCGACAGGCCTCGGGGAGCTGGCGTTGGCCGGTACGCCAGTCCTGGAGCCGAAACTGGAGTCGGGACCATGGCTACTGGGGCCGGTACTGAAGCCAGAATCATGGCTGTAAGGTCCGGTTCAGGAGCCGGAAACATGGCTGTAAGGTCCGGTTTTGGAGCCGGAAACATGGCTGTAAGGTCCGGTTCTGGAGCCGGAAACATGGCTGTAAGGTCCGGTTCAGGAGCCAGAAACATGGCTGTAAGGTCCGGTTCTGGAGCCGGAAACATGGCTGTAAGGTCCGGTTCTGGAGCCGGAATTGTGGCTGCTCCGGCTGCTAGCCTGGCCTTGCGACGACTCCTCTTAGCAGCCGCCTGAATACTCCGTGGACCTCCATAAGCCAGACGAGTTCCGGAATACAACTCCTGGAGCAGAAGCACGGGTTGAGTGTAGGCGGTACCCACCAAGGCGTATGGTGCCAGGTTGGGAATTGGGAGTCAGGGAGCTAGCATGCCTGGGGCTAGCAGGCCGGGAATCACACACCGGGAGGATCTTTCAAATCCAGCCAGGTAAGAACTTCACCAAACCTGGTTTCTCTCTAGCCATCTGGCGCGCCTCCGACAACACAACCTCTCGCTGCTGAACTCCGGGTGCTCTCTTCCATCGATCCGAGCAGTTAGCCAAAAAAAAGGAACAATTCAATAATTCCAGCTCGAACGGATCTGCTGGGCCCATTTCTTGGTTGGTGCTTTCTGATACGAGGAGTGAAGCAGGTAGGACCCAAACGCAGATAGCACTTGATAACACCTTTATTTCAAGGACTTAATCGAACATACCACATGGAAACACAAAACACTCCACGGTGAACTCAGTCACAAACAAAAGAAGCACCAACACTGAACACAGGAAGAGACAAGACTAAATACAGGGAGGGGTAATCACAAGACGAGAAACAGCCGGGTAGGGGAGGAGAAACACAAGGGCAACAGGTGAACACAATCAGACAATTAGACACACCAGGGAAACTAACGACAGGGAGGAAAAACAGGGAGAGGGACCAGACAAGAAACAAGGAGGAAAACATGACAGAGAGAACAGCAAAAACACCCAAACCTAGACATAGAAATGTGACATGAGAATCGTGACACTAAGGGAGTGTTGTGAAACAAAGTGCTTACAAGATTAAGGTAATAGATTCAGTTCCAAGAGAACAAACTGTTGCTTAAACTTTACCTGTAGGATAGAAGTGTCTGTTAAATGAGAAGATGGAAATTGAGTGAATGCAATCTAATTCAACTAGGCCAATCTAATTCAACTAGGCCAATCTAATTCTTTTTACACCATTATGATGAAATAAACATTTGGAAAGACACTTACGGAAAATAACGATTTTCATGGCCATTTTATTGAAGGCCCTTTTGCCGTTTACTCCCTTCTAATTGATCCTGCGTGCCACGGTGCAGGTAATCATTCTTGCCAGAATATTCCACACAACCCTCTTAGTGTCCACCCCTCCAACAGAGGAGAGCGAAGTCGCCTAGGTGGAGAATGGAAACTGAACTGAATATACATGTCAACATTACTGCAACAAACTCAAAGACAAACAAGGCTAACATTTTGTATTGAGCATATGAAAACATGTCCCATAAAAATACTTACAAGATTTGTCTTCATTCTTTCGTCTGTAGATGGTATTTTAAACTCGATGCGCTCTGAAACTACGGGGCGGCCGAGGAAAAAAATACACATGCGTTAATTGCGTTAAAATAATTAGTGGCGTACATTTTTTTTTATTATCGGTCTTGAGAAGCAGGAAGTTATCGGTATCGGTATCGGTTTCAAAAAACCAATATCGTGCATCCCTAAATTAAACCCATGATATCAAAATCTCACTCCAGCCAGGTACCCAAAGTTGGCACCCCTGATTTATATTTGTAATATATAGCTTTACCTCTTTTTAAAGCTGCATTTATTTAAAAAATGCAAAAACTAAAGCACAACAAGATATGTCTCTTTTATTGTCACAGCCTGGACCTGGCTGATCGCCTCACTCCCTCACCTGTGTATATTTGCTCCCTGTTAATCACCTGCCTGGCCTCAATGAGCCTCAGCTGTCCCTAATGATTACTCCTCACCTGTGTATTTAGTCTGTGCTGTTTCCTTGGTCAGTGCCAGTTGGTCTTGTCTGTATAGCAGAAAGTGCTCCATTTTCTCTCCTGACGTAAGCTATTGTTCTAGCTGCTTAGCATTTGTACCACCTAGTTGGTTGTTTTTTTGTTGCTTCTTTAGTAGTTTTCCGCCAACACAGTTGGTTGTTTTTCGTTGCTTCCAGTCAGTACTTTTTTTGATCATTGCCTGTTTTATTTTTACCTTTTGGATTAAACGCTTGACTAAAGACATTTTTGCCTGGTTGTGCTCTTGAGTCCTATTTTTTTGCTTGTGCCCGTACTTGTGTTTGATAATTATGTGTCAGATGTGCAAGTGTCTAACTGGATGGACTCCATCTCTCTTTGAGCTTTGTGGTAGTGATTGTTTTGTCAAATTAATGGTCTCAAGGTTAACATTTAGAAAAACACTCACTCACAAACATTCACAAAATGTTTATTTTAATTCCTGTAGTTGGCTAATAAGTAATATGGTAATCTCTGTTATTGCAGATGGCTGAACTTCAGGTAGACGATAACACAAGCAGCAGAATGACTTCATCAGCAGAGGTAAGTTACTTTAACTTTTAAAAGTAAAAATCCTGGTTAAATAATTATTCATATTTGAGTGAAAACAATGATATTCTGTTTTAAAGTTTAGCCGTCTAGAGTCCTGTTGTTTTCAGAATTGTTTACATGGTTACATTTGAGTCCAAACAATGAAGAATTAAAAAAGCATTCGTTATACTGAGTGAATCGTATTGGTTGCTAGGAAACATCTGGCAAAATCAATCAAAGATGTAAACAGGAAGTCACCTGTAGCAAATAGTGAGTGCTAAAGCTACAGTAGCATATACGAGGAGATGTTAACATCTGATCATTCACATTTACTCAGAGGTGGGAGAAGTACTCAGATCTTGTACTTGAGTAAAAGTAGAAGTACTCAGATCTTGTACTTGAGTAAAAGTAGAAGTACTCAGATCTTGTACTTGAGTAAAAGTAGAAGTACTCAGATCTTGTACTTGAGTAAAAGTAGAAGTACTCAGATCTTGTACTTGAGTAAAAGTAGAAGTACTCAGATCTTGTACTTGAGTAAAAGTAGAAGTACTCAGATCTTGTACTTGAGTAAAAGTAGAAGTACTCAGGTCTTGTACTTGAGTAAAAGTAGAAGTACTCAGATCTTGTACTTGAGTAAAAGTAGAAGTACTCAGATCTTGTACTTGAGTAAAAGTAGAAGTACCAGAGTGTAGGAATACTCTGTTACAGTAAAAGTCCTGCATTCAAAATGTTCCTCAAGTGAAAGTAGAAAAGTATTCTCATCAAAATATAGTGAAAGTAGCGACAGTAAAAGTAGTCGTTGTGCAGATTGGTCCATTTCAGAATAATATATATGATATGTTTTATAATGATTGATCATGAAAGTGTTCTCAAAGCTGGTAAAGGTGCAGCTAGTTTGAATGGCTTTGTATACTGCAGGGTAGCTTGTGGATTTACTCCAGGTGGAACTAAAGTCTGATTTAACACTTGATTATATTTCACATCATTCATCCACATCTGTAGAGTAACTATTAAATACATGTAGTGGAATAGAAGTACAAAGTAGCATAAAATGGAGTACCTCAACATTGTACTTAAGTATAGTACCTGAGTAAACGTACTTCCTACCTCTGAATTTACTGATATAATGTGATCATTTAATGTTCATTATTTTCAAATTCACGGTGTAGATATTTGAATAGCTAGTGATACCTGGATACTATAACTAATTTATAAAACAATGAAATTAGTTTGTGTGCTTCAACCCTTTTAGTTGTTTGTATTTAGCTATAGATAACTCTAACCTTATAACAGATAAAGTATGCAATAATCCATCATGATATTGGTTGAAAAAAACACATTTAGATTTTTGCATGTTTTGAATAATATATATTTTTTAATTCTGTGAGAGCCAACCCCTTTGTATTTATTTTAAAAATAACAACAAATCATTCTGAATCAAACAACCAATCAGTGCGTCCTTGTTGTTTTGTTGTATCAAGTTAATGGGTATTTATACTTCTTCCTTTATTCATTCAGCGGTATTTTAGGCTACAACGAGTCAGAATGCATTCTCGGGTTTCATTAAAAACCTTCATATGTGTCATACACTTGTGTCACTTTCTCTGTTGATTTATTTTTTTGTTTTATAGGAAGAGACCTGCAAAAACCCAGATAGGCTTTATGATGAGGGGGAGAAGAGTATCATCGGAGAACAGCTGGATCACCATCAGGCTACAGCCACAATAGGAAAACCACACACCTGTGACCAGTGTGGGAAGAGTTTTAGCAGGTCAGACTCATTGAAGATCCACCAGCGAACCCACACTGGAGAAAATCCTTTCACCTGTGACCAGTGTGAGAAAAGTTTCACGGACTCACGCTCATTGAAGCGCCACCAGATGATCCACACTGGAGAAAAGCCTTTCACCTGTGACCAGTGTGAGAAGAGCTATAGGCAGTCAGGTCATTTGAAAATTCACAAGCGAACCCACACGGGAGAAAATCCTTTCACCTGTGACCAGTGTGGGAAGAGCTTTAACCAGTCAGGCGATTTGAAGATTCACAAGCGAATCCACACTGGAGAAAAGCCTTTCACCTGTGACCAGTGTGGGAAAAGTTTTATCAGGTCAGACTCATTGAAGATCCACCAGCGAACCCACACTGGAGAAAATCCTTTCACCTGTGACCAGTGTGAGAAAAGTTTCACGGACTCACGCTCATTGAAGCGCCACCAGATCATCCACACTGGAGAAAAGCCTTTCACCTGTGACCAGTGTGAGAAGAGCTATAGGCAGTCAGGCCATTTGAAGATTCACAAGCGAACCCACACTGGAGAAAAACCCTACTCCTGTGACCAGTGTGGGAAGAGCTTTAAGCAGTCAGGCGATTTGAAGGTCCACCAGCGAACCCACACTGGAGAAAAGCCTTTCACCTGTGACCAGTGTGAGAAAAGTTTCACGGACTCACGCTCATTGAAGCGCCACCAGCGAATCCACTCCTTTGTCCAGTGGAAGAAAGAGTTCAGTGACTCATACAGTGTGAATCTCCACCAGCCTACCCACACTGGAGAAAATCCTGACGTCTGTGCTCCCTGTGAAGAGTTTCAGAGAACCAGACCACATGGGAGAACACCTTCACTAGTACACTGAGACTGTTCAGAAAGAGTGAGGTGGACTGTTTGACACAACTCACAGTTAAAAGATGTTGTGTGGATTTTAAAAGTTGTTCAAATGTTCTCAATAATATTCAAATGATGCACTTAAGTTGTCAACTTGTATTTTTTTCCACAGCAAATACACACACAAAGCTCCCTAAAGAACAAGACACCACAGTTACTTAAATATAAGAATGTTATAAATATGTGGTAATTTAACAACAAGCTAAAGCCTACTGATTTCTAAAAGTGTGCATAGAGCCCTTAGTCTCATATAAGCTGGATAGAGCGTCACTTTGAACCATAAACTATTACCGTTGCTGACTGTACTCATTCAGGCCATTTTACCATCAGAAAGAGGTTCCACAGGGGTCTATCCTTGGTCCATTCATGTTTACATTAGATGTTACATAACTTTTTCCAGAAGCCACACTTTCTCCTTTGACCCCTTCTCTGTTGGGGAGGTTTGTAAGGATCTGAAGGGCATAGACTCCAATAAATCAGCAGGCCCAGACAATCTCCCCCCTTGTTTCTTACATCTAGCTGCAGATATTATAGCCCAACCAGTGTGTCATGTTTTTAATCTTTCTATAACAAACAATGTCATTCCAGATGTTTGGAAAACTGCAAATGTTCTCCCCTTATTGAAAGGTGTTGATCCCATGGTGATGAATAATTACAGACCAATTTCCAAGCTCTCTATTTTAGCTAAAGAACTTGAAAGGCTGGTGAATGATCAAATCAAAGAATATTTAAGCTTGAACAACATTCTATCTTCTCACCGGTCAGGCTTTAGGAAGCAGCACAGTAACGGCTGCTTTGAAAGTAGTGAATGACATTGTTGAAGGCTTGGACGCAAAGAGCTACTGTGCTGCCCTTTTTATAGACTTATCCAGGGCATATGATACTGTGGACCATGGCATTCTATGCCAGGAGTTACCCCATATAGGCCCGTCTGACCAAGCTGTTGGTTGGTTTTCAAACTATCTTTCAAATGGCAAGCAATTTGTACAATTCAGCGGTCTCTCCTCAAGCTTTCTTAATGTACCCAGAGGTGTTCCTCAAGGTTCGGTCTTGGGACCCACCCTTTTTACAATTTATATAAATGATATGCATAAAAAATATTGATGCCTCTGTACATCTTTATGCATATGATACTGATCTATACTTTTGTGCTCGCACTGCTGCCCTTGCATTTGAACGTCTGCAGTCTGCTTTTGACACGTTTCAGTCACACCTGTTCCACCTCAGGTTGGTGTTAAATTCAGACAAGACAAGTCATTTTCCAAGAAGAAAAAGTTATCAACTGTTCTTCCCTGCATCATGTGCACAGCATAACCACATTGAAGCTGTTCACACCTACAGAAACTTGACTATTGACTATCTATGACTACTAAGATTGACTATCTTTTAGGGAAACTGAAATTAAAACTGGGATTATTTTTTAGAAACAAGGCCTGCTTCTCCACAAGTGCTAGGAAACGGCTTGTAGCTGCCACATTTTTGCCGCTCTTGGACTACGGGGACGTTGTGTACATGAACACCTCAGCTCACTCCCTTCATCTGCTGGACGCTGTTTACCATGGGGCTCTGAGGTTCATAGCCAACTGTAAACCCCTCACACACCATTGCACACTGTACTCTTTAGTTAACTGGACATCACTATCAATGTGCAGATCTCTGCACTGGTACAAATTAATCTATAGAGTGGCGAAGTCACGCCCATCTACTTCCGGTCTATGGGACCTTATTTTGGAAAAATTATGCATTGAAGTCAATGAAGAGAGAAAACTTATCTTTCAATCCCGTTTGAATTGTGCCATGGATTACACATATGATGTTTGTCAATCTTAAAAAATCATTTCCATGTAAAAAAAAGTCACAGTTTGTCGTAAAACTGTTGAAATATACTGAAAAATACACAACTAGAAAGACTACAAATCCCAGAGTCACGTAAGTGATGTCATAACTGTTTTCCTCCACTAAGAGATAAGATCAGCGCCATATAGATATAATCTATCTATATAACGCCATATAGATATAATCTATCTATATGGCGCTGGCTTAGATAAGATAACTTTAACAAGATGCCTGTGTGCTTAGTACCAGGTTGTTATCATACCAGCAATGGGTCTTGCTCGTTCTTTCGCTTCCCGTCTGATGAAAGGACCAGGAGTGGCTGGATCAAGTTAGCTACCTAGCTAGTAGCTAGCACGTTAGTTAGCATTACAGCCTTGTAATTTTTATTAGCCTTGATATGAAGTAACATTAAGTAACCCAACCAGTAAGAGTAGTAGTCATATTTCGTGAACCCTTTTGAAGAGTACTGTCACACCGGTGTGATCATTCTATAATACACCATTTAAGCCCGGGGGAGAAATGCTAACGCTACATTAGCATCTGCGATCTTTTCTACTTTATGCTATCTGCACAAATGGTTGACATTAAACATTAAAAAGACCAGGCAGTTCTGAGAGAATTAAAGGAAGGCAGGCAGGCAGCTTTGCATGACATTCTTCTGGACGTGTTTCATTGTGGTGATAGTGAGGGTAGTCAATCATCATGGTAGTGACGGCCATCTTGGTGACGTGTGTTGTTCTGCTAGACCGGAGATGTAGGTTATTCAGCGTTTCACACGAACAAATGTGTTACTTCATAGTTTTACGACACATTTTTATTTTTTTGACTTGCAAATGTATCTTTTAAATTGACAAACATCATATGTGTAATTCGTGGCACAATTCAAACGGGATCGAAAGATAATCTTTCTCTCTCCATTAACTTCAATATATAATTTTCCGAAATAACGTCCCATGGAGGTCCACCGGAAAGGGAGGGACTTCGCCACTCTATACCGCTATGCTGGGACTGCTGCCCCTCTACATATCACACAAACAGTACAGCTATAGACTACAATCTCAAAATTACATCACTCTGTCCGTCCCCTCAGTACGCACGGAGCTTGGGAAAAAAGTTACCACCAAAGTTACCACTGATCAGGTCTCTCTTGAGAATGAGACCCTGTGTCTCAATGAGATTTTCACCTGTATAAATAAAGGTTAAATAATATATATTTATATATTTTTTTACTCATAGACAGATAATAGTTACAAATCAAACACATCAATAAGCATGTTAATGGTAGCATTCTGCCCTATATTAGAGCTGTGAAATTATTGGTTAAAAAAAACTACAATGGTGCTTGTTACAAAAAAGGTTGATGAAAAAACTAAGAATTAAATAAGATGGCTAGAGTCACAAAAAATGGTCCTTAGGTGCTTTTATTAACAGCCAAAAATGTTGAAAAAAAACACAAAGTAACAAGATTTTACAGAAAGAAAACAAAAACCTCAATATATATGTTCAGGTCGAGGACATAGGACTGGTAACTCTCTGCTCTCCAGCCACAGTCAGACTACCCCCTAAACACTTGTGGCCAGAGGTTTACACATGTTAAGCCCCTCCCCATAGGACAATCCACTATTTATACCCCTAACCAATGTCATTCTTATCTACACATTGAAAATGCAAGGCAAATTACCCAAACACAACAAATAGGTCAACATATTCTATATTTCTGACCACAGAAGCCTTAAACAATAACATGTTTACACTCGCAAGAAAATTGCCGCCCATGCACTACATGGTATGCTCCAATTGAGCACAGGTGTTCCCACTGATTGAGCCTCTACTTAAGGCTGCAGTTTTCTGTTGCTCTGTTTGGCCTTCACAACCTTGAACGAGAGGGTAAGCAGGTTACTTTGGCAGAGCATAGTTGTACTGTAACTTCAAATAAATCTGTCTTGAACAAACAATGACTTGGGTTGTATTTGATCAATGTCCAGCTAAGTTATTACGACCTGTATACTTTTGCACGCCTTGTTCCCAACAAATGGTCCTTCGAGCCGGATTTGAACCAGCGACCTAGAGGTCCACACTATCACCTGTCTGAAGACTATAAATTCCAAGTGCTTTTAGATCATCTCATATTTCCCAGGGCTTTCCAAATAGCCAAGAGGTATGTCCATGACCCCATGCCATACACCAAGGCCATGCAGGCGCTGCAGCAGCGCTATGGACAGCCCAGACAATTAGTGCAATGTGAAATAAACACCATCCTTAATGCGCCTGCTGTGAAACATGGAGATGCAGGGAGCTTTGAGGACTTTGCTCTGTCAGTAAATAGCCTTGTTGGTCTGCTTAACGACCTGGATGGAGCAGCTAAAAGTGAACTCTTGTGCGGTTCTCATGTGGTTAGACTGCTTGCTAAACTCCCATCCTCATACAGAGACAGCTTTGCAGAGTATTGTTTAACAAAAGGCATTCTGCAGAGTGGCACTACTAACACCTACACACTCCCTGATCTTGCTGTGTGGTTAGAGAGGAAATCACAAGCAATCCAGATATCCAGGCGAGCTAGAGAGCTACACTGCGGACAAGCCACATTCAGAGCACAAGGAGCAGAAACCATTCAAGCCCTCAAAACCTCAATCTTCAGTTTATTATGGCACTGATCGAGTCCCAGATAAGTGCTTTACTGACTCTAACACATCTTCTTCTGGGAAGAAAGAGACAACTAAAGACAAGAAAAGGGAACGTTTCAAACCCTTTTGTCCCTTCTGCAGTAGTACAGAGCACTATCTGAGCTCATGCCCGGACTTCAGCCAGCTGTAAACCACACAAATAACAGCATGGATAAAAGACAATAAAAGATGCTGGAAGTGTGGCAGGGGGCATCAATCTGACAACTGCACTCTGAAGAAACATTGTGCCACCTGTGGTGATCAGCATCTGCAGATTCTGCACGAGTCTATTTCCAGCACAAATAAAAGTGTCCTTGCAGTGAGTACAGTATCCAGCGCCATCTACTTGGATCAAGTCACAGCCGCGGGAAGTAGGGGTGCTGGGGGTGCTGCAGCACCCCCTGTTGGCGAGTGGTGTACATTTGAAAAACTGAGTGACCACCTAAATAAAAATGATTAAACTACATAAAATAGTTATGATTTTACTTAAAATAAAATTAGCTGTATACAGTAGCATATAATAGTCATAGTATATATTTGTATATATCAGGTGGCTTGAATTTATTTTCCAAATAAGTAAAATCCGAGTCATCTAGGTCGTAGGTCTTGGGAGAGTGACGTAATTGACGCGACACACACACTGCAGAGTGACAACTTTCTAGAATGGAGCAAAAAAGGATTTTGGATTTTTTTTCTCCAACAAACAACCCAATAAAAAGAGTGGACCACCAGCTACTCCTCAGCCCACCACCTCTACAACTAGAGTAATATATATAAATTATCCATTATCTCATTACATTTGCGCATATTTTAACACATTTCAGGAACCGAAATCTGAACTTTGGATAAAGCCAGGTTCAAAATTCTCGTTTCATTTTGTAGTCATATTAGCATCTACTGTAAGGCTTTCACCGAAGGGATTTAGGATATCTCTCTTTATCATTCCATAAATCAGAAAATATTGTCAACAGCCCTAAAATATCAATTTTCGCCATGTTTCTAGGTATACAATCTTATATAATTCAGGCTATGAATGATATATGAACAAACCCTTCTGTAAAAGCCTTCATAATATTGATAGGAATATAACTGGAAGGTCTGGTGTATGTAATTGCAACTGAAGTGGACATTTTGGACTCAGAGTAGGAGAAAAAACTCATTTTGAGAAAACGAACTTTAAAGATTGCAGTGAGGCGCTAGCTAAACCCTCTGTTCTTTGGATGACAGCTTGCGCATCGACGCACTTCGTGAAGGTATTTTATGGTCGGGGTCATTTGTGTTTTGTATAACCTTGCTTCGTGCAAGTGACAATTGTTGTTGTCTTCTCTGTGAACGTTTTTTTCCGCCGTTCTTTTGCCATTTGTGAAAGTGCTAACACGTTCATTGACGTTAGGCGCATTCACACCGCAGTACTTTTCCCACAAAGGTTCATGAGAACTTAGTTCAT